CACATCACACCTAGCCCCGCCCCGCTAGCTCCGCCCACACACTTCCACGCCCCGCCTCTGCGCCCTACCTTGCGGCTGAACTCCTGGGCTTTGCGTCTGCGCTCTCGGTGCACGGCGTCTGGGCGCTTGCGGCCAGCCAGGCGCAGTAGTTCACGCCCCAAGGCGAGGCCGCAGCAGGAGCGTGGGCCTCGGAAGGCTGTGATCGCGGCAGCGGGGCCAGAAGCCACGCTGGGGCCGTTGTCGGGGCCGGGGAGCACGCCAAGGCTGGGTGGCACACGCGGACAGCGCCGTGCCAGGCGCACGAGGCGCTCGCGGCTCAGACCACCCACTGCCAGCCCTTCCACCTCCAGAATCTGGTCCCCGGGTCGCAGTCCCCCGGCATGTGCACTGCTCCCCTCGGCCACCTCCAGGACGAAGCAGGGGCCAGAGCCACCCAGGCGGAAGCCGAAGTCCTCAGGCCAGCCCTGGTTGGTGGCCGGCATGGCAGCGGTGGTGGTGTAACTGGAAAGGGAAACAGAGCACAGAGATTCCTTGTCCTGTCTGTGTCTCCACAGACTGTCAAAGGCCCAGGGGGAGTGTGCCAGCCTGGGCCCTTACTTCTCTCTGCCTCCTCCCTGCCTCTTTATCTCTGTTTATGTTCCCCTCCGTCTCTCTATACTTATCCCCCTCCACATTTAGCCTGTTTGGGGCTGAGTCTCTCTCTTAAAATTTGCTAGAGGTTGCATGAAAGCCAGAGACCTAGAGAGAGAAAACACCCCCACGGGGTGTCACACTACACAATCCCTTCTCCTCCATCTTGCCCTCCTTTGAGGACTTTGGAAAGGCTGGCACATGAAAACACACTGGTCCAGGACTGGAACCCACAGTTGGTTCTTGGGATCCAGCCGCCTTAACCACCAAACCACCGGTTGCCTGTCTGGGCCTGAGTCTGAACAGCAGAAGGAAGTATGGCTGAGAAGATGGAGCTCAGGAGGGATGGATTCCGAGTGGGAGGTCAGAAGGGCAGTCTGGGGGGCAGCGTGACAGAGCATAGGGGTTTGGACCATCCATGATGAGGGTGTGCAGTCTATAGGTAGAGGGGCAGGGGAGAGCTGGAGCTGGGGCTACTTACTGCCTCAGAGTGTTCTCAGTGCCCCAGGGGACCCAAGCACCAAGGTGGAAATCCTTGAATTCATCCACTCATTTTTCTAGATTGTCGATGTCTCTGGACTTTATAATTTACCAAAAAAAAAGTATATATTGTTTAAATGTAAAAGACAAATGATTTTTTAAAAGGTGTTGCCATAGGGCTCACGTGCTTGTGGAAGAGAAAGAGAGGGAGAGAGAAAGTGAGAAATCACCCCCCAGGGGCATGACCACCCTGTAGCCCCTTCTCTGTTCTCCTCTCAGAACTTTGGGCACTTCTGGCACTCACACACATCCGGCGTGATCTTCCAGCCATTGGGTCTGGGACTTGAACCATGGTTGGTCATGTGGTAGTCCAGCACCCCAACTTCTACCCTACCTGCTGGTCCCACAAATGGCCCTATCTTAAACTTTTAATTTGAGTTCCTTGGTTTTAATGAGTCCACACCTTCCATGAGTCTTACTGTTTGACTTTCTTGGCTTCCTTTTTCCTCACCATTTCCTTCACCTGGACCCTTTCCTTACCCTTTCTCCGTTTGCCAGAATCCCCTTTGAGAGTCATACATGAATCATAAACTAACAGAATCCCAGAATGCTGGAGTAGAAGGTGGCCCCAGAGACCATTCATATCCCTAGAGGAGATTTGTAAAACATCCCCAGACCCAGGCAGTGTTCTCACCTTCAGCTCAGAGAGTCCTAACCCAAGGTCACCCAGCTCGGGGATGGCAAGGTCAGCTCCCTCCTGTCCTACTAGAGCTGTCTCCATAGCACCTCTCCACCATCTCATGCAAAGCCTTTGGACCTCTGTGCAGAGGTTCCTGCCTGTTTTGATAATGTCTTCAGAGGCCTCCCTCACTGGTGTTGCAGGAGACCTGATAGGTTGACTACAAGGCATGCCCTGCCTCCCATGTCTGGGATTGTGGGGGAACAAACAGTTATGTACTGGCCCTCGTAGCAGGGTTGAGCATTGGCCAGCCTGGCCAATCACAGTATCCCTGCCTATGTGTCCCAAAGAGAGCTCTTTTTTTTTTTTTTTTTTTTTTGAGAGGTTTTCTCTATAGGGCGCATGTGCTCGCCAGACAGACAGAGATATAGAGACAGAAAGCGAGAAATCACCCCCCAGGGGGGATGGTCACGCTGCAATCCCTTCTCCATTCTTCTCTCGGAATCTTGGGCATGCACGCACACACACCCGGCGTGAGTTTTAAGCCACCGGGTCCGGGACACGAACCACGGTTGACTACGTGGGAGTCCAGCAACATAGCCATTACACTAACTGTTGGTTCCCCTAAAGAGAGCTCTTAAGAGCCCCTGCAGATTTGATATGTTGACCTTGAGAGAGAGGGGATTCTTTCTCTGGGCCTATTAGCTACAAGGGCATTACAGGTTTGGGGCACCTGTGGAGGATCAGTTCCTATGATACCACCTGAGCTAGATCCAGCTATGTCTGAAATTCACTCAACTTCCATTTGACAAAGGACTTCCCAGTGACACAGGTTCATGAATTCTTTCTTCTTGTTCTCCTTCTCCTTCTCCTTCTTCTTCTTTTTTCTATTTAGTTTAAGGCTATTTGTACCATCTCTTGCCTTTTGGCTGGAACTGCCATCTTCCCAGTAATTAACCAAAATGACAAACACAA